TTCCTAAGTAAGCATTTTAAGACAAAGTTACCTATTAAATTCAAGGACATTGAATGTTCCTAATTATAGTCTCATCCTAACAAGAGAGGGGGGAAAACATGATGGTTCAGTGGGGGGATGGGAGGTTGGTGGTGAAGAAGGATTCACACAGGACATGAGGATGAGGGACTGAAAAAGAATCTGTTCACATTCTCCTGAAATTTCCCATAGTTTCTTTCAAAATACCACAAATCTTTTCTTGAAGTTTCAGCCTGGGCTCAGAGTCAGGGCCAAAGTTCAAGTAACATCAAAGTTTATTTTTGAAATAAAGGTTTATTTCCTCATGGAATTCTTGAAGGGTTTGCCCTGTGTGTGTGAAGTACTGAGTCTGGGCTGAAAGGAATTTATTTTAGGACCTTCAGCCGTCTTTGGCTCACACGCCTGTTGCCCTAGGAGGTGATTGATGGCCATGTAAGTTTCCAGTCCACCCCTGGAGGCCCAGCTCTGGGGCTACACCCCTCCTGGCTCAGCTCAGCGAAGCCTCCATTGCCTCAAGGGCAGAAGTGTGCTCTTTCCTCTCAAACCTTGTAGCACTGATCTGCTCAGCGTTCCCGCTCTTTTCAGAGCGTAGCATTGATTCGCATCGATGTTGTCGGCATTGTTGATTGAATTATATAGGCTCTATTCTGACTGAAAAGCCGCCAGTTCACTTTCTTTGGCCTACAGGGCTGCCTGTTGAGGAGAGAGAGTTTACTTGTGTTCTTAACTGCAGAGCTGAGCATTAATACCAAAAAGGGTAAATGACACTTAAGAGTCAATTTAGTATTTGCTAATTCTTGTTAATATCTCTTGGTACAGACACTTAGAACCAGGGAACAACATGTTAGGGTTGGGATTGACGAGCAGCCTGTTTAGCCCCCTACTGGCTACATGTGTATTTTTTCATTTATAATGAAAACGTCTTTACTGAATCTCAAGGCAAGGGGGTGTGGGGTGAATGTATGTTCTTAAAACTTAGATGAAACATGGAAGTGTGGTGGAGGGCGCCTGCGGTCTCAGTTACTTGGGAGAATCCCTTGAGGCCAGGAGTTTGAGTCCAGCCTGGGCAACATAGCCAGATCTTGTCTCTAAAACAAACAAACAAACAAACAAACAAAAACTTCGATAAAACAGAATAACTATAGAGGAATGTCAAGGAGAAAACTAGCATCCTTTCTTAGCCACCAAGTTGCTACCATTTGGGTATATTTGAAAGGTAGCAACATGGAGGCAGCTTTCTCGTCTCTCATCTGGAAATAAGACTGAAGCCTATACTGGGAAGCTGGGTAGGTTGCACGGTAGCTCATAAATTTTCATTTTGCAGCTGTGGAAACTGACAGCTTGAAGGAGGAGACATGGCATATCCTATGTCACTTATTTATTCTTTCAAGTTCATTTTTTATTGAAATTCTAGGTGGGAAGGCAGGATGGGAGGTTGGAAGGAAAGCAGGGCCCTTGCTGGTCATGGGCGGTCAACTCTCCTGTTTCCCTCCTGCCTCTCTGGCCAATCTTTCTCAGTCTCTGCTTCTAGGCCACAGCCATATCCAATTCCACAGGTGAGCCCAGCTAAGGCTCAGATTGCAACTCTCACTGGATGAACTGCTAGAGGCCTGGAGCCTGGGAGTCGGTGGGTGGGTAGGAGGCATCCAGCACTTTCAGGTCTGGCTTGATTATTAAGGCGCCCCCCTTCTCCCCTTTGCACCTTCCTTCTCTCTCTCTCCTTCTGAATGTGTAATGCCAAGGTTTATAGGCAAATCAAAGCAAATGTTTAATTCATAGAGCACTTACTGCCTACTTGACCCTGGGGATGTGGGCACAGGTGGGGAGTAGCTGTCTTGCTCTCCGCATGAAAAGTTCTTAAATATAATACCTCCTTCCTCGTGCCAGGCAGTGCTCTGCTCCAGAATCTACTACGACTCTCTGAAGCCCCTTTGGTCAAGTTAAATCCTTTACCAAGGCTCTTCATATCTGGCTCTGCCTGTAATCCTCCATTTATTCATTTGTTCAACAGGCATTTTCTGAGTGCTACTGTGTGCCAGTCGCTGGGCTCGGCACTGGGAATACAGCAGTGAACAAGACAGAAATGGTTCCTGCCCTCATGGAGCTAACGGTCTAGTGGGGGAGACAATATTATTACAAAGACATATTATTACTATTAAACAAGGATGTTGGCATCACTCTCCAGTAACCTGTGCCAGATACTGTGCTGGAGGGTGATGTGGGAGCACAGGAGATGACGCTTCACCTTAGCTGCCTTCCTGCCAGCCGGAGCGCAGCGCTTCTAGGACTCCAACTCTCCCTCCACAGACCAGAACCAGGCCCCCTGCGCACCTTCCCCTGAGGCTCTCTGTATCCTGGCCCTTCTCTTGAACCCAGGGCAGCCCCTCACTCAAGGTCTCACCTTTCCTGTTGGGAAGATAGGAGATAAGAAGGAAGGTGAAGATTTACATTCCCTCAACTTCTTCTATCATATACGCCATCCGGCCCTAGTCCTGGGAAGGGAGGAGGGGCTCTGCACCGAGGTGGCTCCGCTACAAGTCCTTGATGTTTCCTTGATGAAAGCCAGGGCTGTCTTATTGAAGAGGCTGGAGTGAGAGCGGACTAGGCTGGGGGAAGGGTATTGGGGCCAAAGCTGATTTACTTGGAGTTGAGCTTATTATTACAGAGCTCTGAAAGATTCATCAGCTTTGGGAATCAGAGTAGTGAGGGCAGCTCAGCCACCAGGCCCAGCCCAGGCCTGCCACGCTCAGGCAGAGAAGCTCTGCCCAGTCTCCTTCAATCTGCTCACACCTCATTTCTTCTTCTCCAGAGCAGAGATCAGTCTAAACAGCTCATAGGTCAAGGAAAATTATCCCTGGAGAGTCCAGCCAACTCCCTACTTCCTGCCAGTCACTCTCTTGGCTCAGGTTTGAGTTCACCAAATAGAGAATTTTGGGTCCTCATTCTGCAACCGGATTTTATAGTTCAGAAAGGGGGTTGTCTTTTGCCTATTTCTTGACTCTTAATTAGAATCCAACTTTTCTACTATCCATATTCTAATTTACTAAATAAGAAGAAACTATATACTGAAAAGGGTAATTGGATTACTCTCTTATTTAATTTTAAATTGACAAATAAATCCATGTATTTATGGGGTACAATGTGATATTTTGATGTATGTATACATTGTGGAATGAATAAATCAAGCTAATTAACATATCCACCACCTCACATACTTATCATTTTTTGTGAACATTTAAAATCTATTCTGGCCAGGCGCAGTGGCTCACGGCTATAATCCTAGCACTCTGGGAGGCCGAGGTGGGAGGATTGCTTGAGCTCAGGAGTTCAAGACCAGCCTGAGCAAGAGCAAGACCCCATGTCTACTAAAAGTAGAAAAATTAGTGGGCGTCGTCGTGCACACCTGTAGTCCCAGCTCCTCATGAGGCGGAGGCAGGAGGATCGCTTGGGCCCAGGAGTTGGAGGTTGCAGTGAGCTATGATGATGCCACTGCACTCTACCCAGGGTGACAGAGAGGGACTCTGTCTCAAAAAAAAAAAATGTATTCTTTTGGCAATTTTGAAATATACTAGTTGTAAAGCCTTCTTGAACTGCTTAAGGGACAATTAATTCTCTGAAGGAATGCATGAAAACAGGCCACACTCAGGATCATTAATGTAGACAGAGGTGTTCTATTCAAAGTGTTTTACTAATAGATTATAAGGGATTATAAGGACGTGAACATTTGTAGGAGGAAAGATGACAGAATTAGGAAAAGGAATAAATGGAGGCACACCAAAGTCAAAGAATTGGGTTAGAGGAGAATCATATGGGTGTGCAGTGTGTTGAAAATAAGTGTTCTCAGTGGAAAGTCCCCAAGTGGGCAAGGACATCCACATACTCAGGTACTCTGGTTTTCTGAGGATGGCAATGTCGCCTTCTTTTCCATCTTCTGGAATGGAGAGAAATGAGGACCTGACCACAGGTTGCCAACCCTGAAAGCACATCTGGACTCCTGTACCCTTTCTGGGAGAGCAGCTCAGGAACCCATTGTGGCCAGGGATGGGAGGCATCCCAGCTGGAGGGCCCCACCAGAAGGAGGCGACCCTGGGCTTTCTTTTTGCATAAAATATGGAGCGGTGTCCCTCTATCTGAATTGAATCTGTTTTTTCCAGAGAATGGCTTTGTTTTCATTCATTCATTCCAATGCCTTTACGATGTCCAGGCACCCTAGGACTCCCCAGAGACCCTGCCCTACGGAACAGTCGAATAAGATATTTGGTTCTTTGCCCCTTATTTCCAAGCTCTTGGGCGCTAGTCTAGTCTAGTCTGTGCGTGGCACCAACTTACATGTTTGGAGAAGGAAAGCTCGATGAATGAAGTCAAACTATTTGGTCGGTCTTCGCTGGTTAGTCGCTGGTGTGGGCACGGGTGTGCTTGAATTTTTTTGTCTATATTAAGAAAAAGTTTAAGTTAAAAAAAAAAGCGGAAAATAACTTTAACCATCAGTACCGGGAGTCGAGCTCCTCAGGAGGACGCGGGCACACATCCCGTATGGAACATCACCCGCTCCCCCCACACCCGCCCCCCCGCCCCGTCACGCAGACATTCCTTCTTTCACGCTCCAGCTCGCTCTTTTTACTCCTACTTCCCTTTCCCTCCTCTCCCGGATCAAGCGTTAATCTGCGAATCTCTGACCGCAAAAGAAAAAAAGGTGGGTGGGGGGATCCCGAAGTAGCAGAGCTAGGGAGGAGGAGGAGAAAGGCGGGGAGGAGGAGGAGGAGCCCAGTGAGCCAGAGTCAGAGGGACTAGTGGCTCCAGCGAGTGTGCAGCCCCGGGGGGAGCCGGCGCTCTAGGCTAGGAACCCTTCAGCCCGCCCACCCGCGCCCAGGGGCGTGCTACACTCGGAGCTGGGGCCGCCGCTCCCGGGCGCTCGGGCCAGGGGCGCCGCTTGGGGCGAGCCAGCCGCGCCGCCAGGCTGGTCCCCCGCGCCCGCGCCCGGGATGCCGTTCTACAGGCGCACGGTGGTGCCCCAGCGCCTGTGCCCGCTCAACTCGCCGCAGCCGCTGGCCGAGCTCCGCGACGTGAGCCACCTGGCCGCGCTCAGCCTGCTCCGGCAGCTCGCCGACCTCTGTGGCCACTCGCTGGCTCTGCTCGAGGACCTCGAGGGGCACCTGCTGGCCCTGGGGCGCCGCACCGACAGCCTGTACCGGCGCGCCGCGCGCCTCCGCCGCCGCCTTCCCTGCCGCCTGCTTGGCCCTGAGGACGACGAGGAAGAGCTAGGTAAACGGCGCCCAGGCGGCTCGCGGGCCCGCGTCTACCCCGCCTCTGGGGGCGCCAGTAGGCGCCCGGCTCTGCGCCCACCCTCTCCCCGCCTCCCGCCGCCCCTCCCATTCTCTTCACTCTGAGAGTGAGGGGATCCCACTTCCCTAGCCGCCCCCACCCCCGCCCGCCTCTGTACCGCTGGAACTTCCTGCTCCTGGACCGGGTCACGCTGTCCTGAGTGGCCCTGTGCCCTCCGGGCTCCCGACCCGGGGGTTGGCGGCTGCTTCCAGCGCATTTGAGGGGGGACCCGCTGGGCCCGGGACGGCTTCACCCTACCCCCAGGCCCGAGGTGTCCTCATAATCGCGGCGTCGGGAACCAAATGGCCGAGCCGCTGGCGTCTTTCCTCTGGTCTGGGAGCTCAGCCACTTCAGAAAGCGCGCCCCAGTCGCCTGCCACCTACGCGCGGCGGCAGGAGCCGGGTGGTGGTGCTTATTGGCTTTAAACCTGTGCAACTTCGCGCTGGAGCGTGGACGAGGCTCGCACTCGGAGGGGTGTCTGAGCGCCCTCCCGCCAGCTTCTCCTGGCACGTTTTGTCTGGGCCGTTGCGCCGGCGAGGGGGAGGGGAGACTGCCTCCCCACCTCTGGCTTCGCTGACCCCCTACCGCTAGGGTCTGGCTGCACAGATTTGCTGGAGAGAACCATTTACAGAAACTATCATCAGTTTCCTGAAGTGCATTCACTTTAGGAATCGGCCATGCCTGAGAAACGCCAGATCCCAGTGGTGCCCTCGCTGAGCACTCAGGACCCACGAGAGGGCAGGCGGGCAACGCGAGCCCTTGCCCTTACTACTTTGGATCCCAAAACTTTGAATGGGGGAGCCTCTTTCTGTGGAAATGCAGTGCCCCCTTAGAGTGTGGGACTTCCGTTGAAAGCAAGGGAACTGAATATACAGGAAATGCTGACTGCATCTGAGGCATGTCAGGTACCAGGACAAATCGGTGCCTCCAGAAAGTTAGGGGAGAGGAGCAATGTGGCCAAAGAGTTTCAGATGGAGGCAGAAGATGGCTACTGATTGACTTTTGAGTGCAAGTCTCCTTCTGCCTTGGGGAAGAATTGCCTGGGTCAGCCCCTCTCCATTGTAGACCCCACCCATCCCCACCCCTTCCAGAAGGACAGGAGTCAGAGGCCCTGGCACCCCTTTTCAAAAAGGTCTCTGACCTCTGAGGTAGATGGCAGAGGTCACTGGAGGAGAAAAATGAACTAGGTCCTGTGGGAAAAGTAAGGAGGAAGCCACAGGTGACGGCCAGATGGAATGTAGGCATGGGACCAGAAGCCTCTGCATGGCAGGGGCCCAGGAAAGCTGGGGCCCTATGTCTGGTTAGTGCTCAGTTAACAAAGAGCGTAAGAGGGTCATTGTGTTTTTGTTTTTTTGCTGGGGTCCCACTGATTACCAGGATTAGTCTAGGAGAAATTTGATAAGTCAGCTTGGGGTGTAGTTTTCAAAATCCCCACATGGCTTGCAGAGAGCCACCTACTGAGTTCAGCGGGGTAAGTTAAGGAGAGAGAGAAGGCTCTGCTTTTCCAACTGGGACCCTTCTGTCCACTGAATCGGTGAGTCCCTTCCATGGGAGGGAAGTTGTGGCTTTATCAAGGCACCTTGGGACCTAAGCTTTTCCAGTGATCTGTTGAGTTAGGAGATGGCTTTATGCAATGGATATCTTTTAAAGGGAAGGAGCAGTTCTTAAGATAAATCACCCTGCGGTTGGCCTCTTGGAAGTTTGCAAGATCAGGGAGAGTGGCAATCTCTTATCTTTGGTGTGGCCACTTGCCTTTGAGAATATAGATGTCACTCGACTCACAGGCATCGGGGACAGCTACCTTCTGTAAGTTGGTGAAAGGGTCTGATTTTCCATTTTCTAGTCTGAGTCTACCCTAGACTCCCCTTGAGGTTCCCACTGCACACTTTTCTCCATAGGAGCTGTGATTGCGCAGCACTGAAATTAGGCCTTCTCAGCAACGATCTGAGCGTAAGTGCCAAATGCGAAGGGGGTTGGGGAGCATGATGAGTGCACCATCTGGTCACCCCCTTGTTGCTCAGGCATAAGCGGCAACAAGGTGTTCAGCAGGCTGAATATTAGATTTTAACCATAAACAAACAAACAAACAAACATTGCCAGGCCTTGCCCTTTTTCTCTTCCCTGTGTATTTTCATCTTAGCACGCCCACTCTCTTACTGACCATTTTGCTGGGGGTCAGCACTCCCAGTCAGCATTTTACCCTACATACGCTTCGTCTGGCCAGATTTCCCCCAAATTCTTTCTCTAACTATTTCTTTCAACCATGGGCAGGAGAAGCCTGGGAAGGAGGGAGGAAGGTTTGGCAGCAACATGGCCAGAGTGAATGGCAGCTGACAGGCCAGCAGTTTGTAGCCTCCCTGCAGGGACAACTTGGCTGCCACCGGATGGTCAACTGCGGCATTGTGGCAAGTCAGGCTGGCCCATAGCCTGCAGGCTGGTCTGGGGCCCTGGGAAGCAGCAGGCAGAGGATAGGGTGATGAGAAGAAGAGGGATAGAGGAGCAGAAAGTGGATGCTAAAGGATTCCAAGATGCTTCTCTACACCAGGGGTCCCTAACCTATGGTAAGTTGTATAAGTATTTCATTATATATTACAGTGTAATAATGATAGAAATGAAGTGCACAAGAAATGTAATGCTCTTGAATCATCCTGAAACCATTCCTTCCTACCATGCCCCCGACCCGGGTCCATGGGAAAATTGTTTTCCATGAAAACGGTCCCTGGTGCCAAAAAGGTTGGGGGCCACTGCTCTACACAATCACAGGTCCTGCCCTCCCACTTCTTCAAGGTTACAGGGGTGGGGCTGGGCTGGGCTGGTTGCTTGGCAACATTCCCTCCCCCCCCTCCAGGAGGCTATTCTTTGGTAACTTGAACCCCTTCGAGACTGCCCTAGAAGCTCTTGTAACTGGTATGAGGTTGAGGGTGGAGACGGAAGGAGGAGAGGGCACACTACAGGAGTGCACCAGGCCCCTGTGTTTGTGGATCTGTGGCAGTTGCCACACCCTAGGCATGGCCCTGCCTATAAATCGAGGTTTTCTCCACATCTGGTTTTGAATGTGACCCGTTTTATTGCATCTGTGACCTATCCTCTGTGCTCTTCATCTCGAGAATGGTAGAGTCAAAGCCAGTGGGAAATACCTCCATGCCTGACACCATAAGCTGAGTCAGTCCAAACTTTCCAACTCCTCCTCAGAGATCTATTTAATATTTGTAGGTGTTTAGATGATAATTACAAAAGCAATCAGGCCATTGGCCTAGGGGTGTAATATCTCCTTTGCAATCAAGGAAGTCACTGAAACACTGGATAACTCTAGGTATGTTTAATAACACTGGAGAACTATCATGTTACACTAGCCCATGAACTTGCTGTAGGAAAGATGCTCTGTTGCTTCTTGCAATTAGTTTGGCTTGAATACAGCCAGTTGGGTCCATGGTGGAAACTCCCTCTTCATCTTTATGTAAAATTCCTACCTCTTCATTTTCCAACTTTGTGGCAACTCTGGCTCCAAATCAGAAAGGACAGCTGGTTTATTTATGTTTAAATCATAATTCCAGTGCAAGGGGAAACTGTTGTAAATCTATACAGAGATGAAAAAAGGAAAATGGCACCTCTAGACTACAGCTGGTTTGCCATTAGGTGAGGCACTGTAGACCCTGAGTCTGACCGTCCTTGCTAATGAGGAGGGGAGGTGGCCTCTTGAGTCGGAGCAGGGGGGAGCTTTGGCGAAGTGGAACAGGCACTCTGCCAGGGCTCACTTTGTCTCTGTCCTACCTGTCATCCCCAGAGGCCCTTGGGACAGTGGGTTGATGGAATATGGAGGGGGAGCAAACACATTTTCTTTTTTTTTCTTTTCTCCCCCCACCCCCACTTTCCATTTTCTTCTTCTTCTTCTTCTTCTTCTTTTTTTTTTTTTTTCATTTTCTTCTTAAATACCATGAAATTCCTGGTCTGCTTCATGGTATTTCCATGTGTTGAAAACATCTTCACTGGAAATTTGGATACCAAAATGTCCACTAGAATTTCCTCCACTTTAGAAACAAGAAATTTAATCTTCCCCCTTTTTTGACACACGAACAGCTAAAGCGGTAAAAGTGTCAGGATGTTAGAATAGTAGAGCAATAGGAGAAGATTTAGGTTATGGCTCTCCGGCTCGACTTTGACCTTGATGAAGTTGATTAAGTTTCAGGAGGACAGTGGTGCATTTGCATCATCTCTCCCTGTACCTCCCTGGCTTGGGTGGAGTCCATTTACCCTATGTGGCACCAAAAATTCAGTCATTAACCATTGTGAGTGTCAAAGGGGAAGGGACTGGTCCGAAGGTACCCAGCTGGACCAAGACCTTCAGTAGTCCCAAATGCTAAAAAGGTTTTAGTGCCTCCCCGCATGTAATTCCAAATGAAAGCAATACTAACCTTTCAAATAAAATAAAGTGATACTATTTTTAAATGACTCAAAGCTCACATATATGTTGAAATTAAAATAGCTTTTTACTAGAGTCTGTCTCCATCCTTCTCTGCCTGTGGTACCCCTGTTGTTGGTGGCCTAAGCATGTATTTATTCTGCTTATTTGGGAATGTGGCACAGGCCAGGTCACACAACAGGTCAGTGACAGGAGGTCTTGATCTGGAAGCCAGGCCTTCTGACATGCAGGCTCTGCCCTCTGCAGTGACACTAAGTTCAAAGTCATTTGTTCATTGAGAGTCACTGCCCTGGCATTTTCTGTAGCTGGAACTTGTCCGGGATGAGGAATGAGTCCTGCTACTTTTAGTAACTGAGGGAGCCCTGTGGTTCGGTAGCTGGGACTTGGGCAGGGGGTGACCTAGAGCAGGAGAAGAGGAAGAAGGTCAGCCCCGTGTTGTATAGAGAATAGGTGTGAGGCAACGGGCTCCCTTGTTAAAACAAAACATAATCTTGAGATTTGAGTGGAAAAATGCTCTGGA